AATAAAAGTCCGCCTTATATTTTAAGCGTTTTGCCAACAAACATAAAATGAAAAAGAATAAAATCTCGCGCCGACGACTTAGTAGTCGCGGGCGGGTAAAAACAAAAACAACTAAAAAGAAAACTTAGATTTGACATAGAAAAGTTAAAACAAAACGAATCAACGTCAACAATTAGCAACAAAATAAAGGCGAATTAAATTACAAAAAGAAAGAAATAAACAAAAGTAAAAGAAAAGTTTGGTTAACAAAAATGGAGACACAAAAATAAAATAAGTAACAAAACACTGAGGAATCGGAGAACCAAGTTCGAATTTCAGTCGAATCCTTTACATTCACTCGGGAAAAGTATGAATCCTCTTGTTCTCAACCTCGCCCACCCCAGTTGTCGGTAAATAGCAGGACAGACCGAGTTCTATAGCCTTGGATGGCAACTGGTCTACCGCAGAAAGAAATGGCAACCTACTGCGAGGGAAAAAATTTGCGTCATCAGTCATGTATCGAAAAATACATGATCGCCTAAGCATGTATCACGCATGGCACATAAAATTGACTGACTTAAGTAAATATTTAACTGGGAAGTTCTTAGCAGTAAACAAATTAAAAATTGAAGTCGGTGATTTGAATAATTAGATATAAAATTCGATAAAATTCTTTTTCTTCTTTAATTAATTCCTTTATGCTTTTACTTACTTTAACGTCTATTTATCTTTCCTCTTTTTTTAGATCAATAGATTTGATATATTCAGGGAATCATTAACTCAGTTGCAAATCAAAAGGTGAAGTTTCTGATATAAGATCCTTCAACATCACAAGTGAAAAATGTCGTCTGCTTGTAGCAAATATAATTTCCATCTGTTGCACGTTTGGTTGATCGAGAATTTTCCTCGGGCCTGATCTCATTTTAGATGGGAGAAGACGTTCCTGGCGCCGTGGATTACAATCTTGTGGCAGCACCTTTCTCACTGCACCAAGAGAGGGTGGATCGGCATAATATCTACGCCAGCAGTACAGTGGTCACGGGGATCGGGCAATTCTTATAGTTGGCCCATATGTACGTGTATTGGCACTCCTCTTAAAAATGACCTTATGTCATATCCTGCCTTAGTTTGGAGATCAGGGAAATAAAATCGCCAATTTTCTTTGTGGGCAATTTGTGATGTCAAATTGATTGAACAATAAATTAGCGATAATGAGATTTTTAAGCCTTTACTGTCTGCTTTTTTTATAAATTATTTTTCTCTTATTTGTTTTCATTCTTTTCCTCTTCTAATTCCTTCTCTTCTTTTCTTTCTGTCTACATATTTTTTTTTCTTTTCTCTTACTTGTTTTTTAGTTTACCCACTGAACAGTAATTTTGCTCTTTATTTATTTATTTATTTAGTATTCGTTCAGTATCCTCTCTCTCCCTCTCTCACTCATAAGTATTCTCTTTCTCTCTTTCTATCTAACGTCCTTTCTCTCTCTCTCGCTTTCTCTTCATTGCTTTTTTCTTTTTATCACCCTTTCTTTCTTATTCGTTTCGCGTTCTGTTCTCTCTTTCTTCATTTTTATCCTTTTCTTTCTTTAAATCATCCTTCCCTTTCTACTTATTTAAAGTTGTACTCTCTCTCTCTCTTTCCATTCTTTGTTATTCATTTCGCGTCTTATTATTTCCCTTTTATTTCCTTTCTTTCATTTTCTTCTTTCTTTCTTTCTTTCTTTCTTTCTTTCTTTCTTTCTTTCTATCTTTAAAATTCGTTTAACGTTCTTTCCTTTCTCGCTATTCCATTCCTTTTTCTTTCTTCCTTCCTTTCTTTCTTTCTTTCTTTCTTTCAAATTCGTTTAACGTTCTTTCCTTTCTCGCTATTCCATTCCTTTTTCTTTCTTTCTTTCTTTCTTTCTTTCTTTCTTTCTTTCTTTCAAATTCGTTTAACTTTCTTTCCTTTCTCGCTATTCCATTCATTTTTCTTTCTTTCCTTCTTTCTTTTTTTTTCTTTCTTTCTTTCTTTCTTTCTTTCTTTCTTTCTTTCTTTCTTTCTTTCTTTCTTTCAAATTCGCTTAGCGTTCTGTCCTTTCTTTCTATTCAATCCATTACATCTGCTAATAACACTACCAAACTCTAAATTTATCTTTTATTTTGTTTGTTTGTTTCTTTCTTTTTCTTTCTTTCTTTCTTTCTTTCTTTCTTTCTTCTTTTCTTTCTTTTTCTTATTTCTCTCTCATTCTTTTAATGCTTTTTCTTCCCTTTATTTAACTGAGAAATAGCAGTGGGTGGTGACGCTTGCAATGTTGTCCATTCCGACATTGCGAGGTTCAACATCTTTGTAACATAAGAAAATCACTGTTGCTTCCTCTCAAAATGTCAATTAACTTTGGCAGGATGATAAACGAGAATATATCGATGCTGTGTGCTGGTTAACGAACTAGCCAAGTTCAGTGTACTAAGTTCGATCGCCTACTCGTTTCATTTGCTTTGTAGTCGCTTGAAAAAAGGTCTAAATTTATAAATACCGATATAACAAAAGTCGTGTTTGATATCTATTGAACTATTTTTCCGCTTTGATTCGATAAAAAGGAAAGTCTTCTGTTATTATATGCCATATTTTAATGACTCAATGTTCTTATTGCCTATGACCGAATCAGACCACATGCGCTTTTTTTTTTTTTACCAATGTCCGTTGTTTGTTTCTAACGAAGTTTTTCTGTCTCTGCTTAGTTTTTGGGATAGATCTTTGGGTACCCCAATCCGTCTTCGGATCTCAGTGTCACACTTCTCCGTCCTCTGTTACGTGATATCTGTCCTCCTGTACGGCAGTGAACAATATCCTCAAAGATGAAGAGGAGACTTGAAGCAACAGAATCGTGGCTCTACAGAAAAATGGTGAGGATACTATGGAAAGACTGGACATGAGAGTAACGACGAGGTTTTGGAGAGAATGGAAACAAAGTGGAAAGTTATACTTAACATCAGGAAGAGGCAGTTGAAATTTCTGGGGCACGTAATGAGGAAAGAGTGCTTAGAAAATCTAATACTCACATGACAGATAAGAGGTAAAGAGGGACACAGGAAAGCAGCGTGTAATATACTTGATGGCTTTGAGCAAGTGGATGAAGGAACACGGTTTAGGAGAAATAACAAAAACAAAACTTATTAAGAGCTACAAGAGACAGGAAGATGCGGAGGGCGGTGATCGCATACGTTCTGAAGGAAGATGGCATATAAAAGAAGATATGCTCGTTAAATACAGTTTAGGTAGCCCAAGTAAATAGTAATTCTAGTAACAACAGACCAAGTTGCGAGCTAAGATTTGGAGATGTTAAAAATCGAACAACTACAGTAGTTTGCCGGTGCCCAGTTTCCCGCCCAGAAGGACCTTCGGAATCCTCTTATCCGGCATATGGGGTTCAAGCCAACGGAGCCAAAGCTGTTGAAAAAGGGCTCGCAGGCTCAGTAAATGGACACGGGTGAAAACTTTATTTTACAGTAAGTTTTATCCTGTACAATTATCGGGAGTCACTCGAGGTCGAAGCTTGAGTTAGGTGGCAATTTGTGCGGATAAATATAAATATATATATATATATATATATATATATATATATATAGAGAGAGAGAGAGAGAGAGAGAGAAAGGGAGAGAGGGAGAGGGTGTTACAATAACTTCGACCAATTTTAAATGTAAATTATGTTTAAGCGTATAAAGATTTTTTTTTTTTTTCTTTCTTTTTAATCCGTCTTAATGAAACACCCTGTATATATATATATATATATATATATATATATATATATATATATATATATAGTTTACGAATCACCTTTCAGGCGTGACCACAACTATAAGTTTCATGATTTTACGCAATTGTCAGGTAGTCGGCAGCAGCAGTGCGGAAATGTGAACACCTTTATTCCTCCGGGCAAGACTAAGATGGAAAAAATATGGACGGTGCGTGAACGCTATGCATACACCAACCAAACTCAGATGGAATGCGGGAAAACATTCATCCGGCCAAGATCAAAACGATCCGTCATTACACAATTATACTCCATCAAGAAAAAAAAATGGTGTTGGGCACATTTTCTTTCCGGTGTGCATTCACCACAGACTCTTTTTAAAAGTTGCTTATTTCAATTAATACTAGAAAGCTCTGCCATGGTTGTCTTTGTGTGTTCGGTTCTGTTGAGCACTTATTTGCATGAAAGCATTAGACCCCTCGACCGAGACCTCATTGTTTCGTGTGGAACTTTTTGTGACGCATCTGCAAGATATTTCTGAGATGTAATGGATAATGGCCCGGAAGTGTTAATCGGAGAACCGAGTTCCAATTCATGATAGGTTCGTTATATTCAGTTACGAGTTTATACCATCGGGATAGATATAAATCCACTTTTTCTACTCCCAGCTATGGGTAAGTTAGTAAGACTTGTATCAGTAAATAATTATTATCTCAAAAAAGTTACTTCAATCTAAATATATTTTCTGGCTTTAAATAACCTGCAAGGATTTGAATAGCCGTAACAAACAAATCAATCAGCCAAAAAAGAAAATTCGACTGTTAACCTCTGGATTAAGCCTGGAATTTAGTAATATTTAGTAAAATAAAAATAATGAGGTGAGATTTTACAGACAAAAATATCTTCAACTGAGCAAGTATTTTTTAAAAGGCGCGAAATTACAATGGGTTCATTATCCGTGAAACTCAAAGATCCACAAACCTTTCCTACAGTTTTGGTCCCCTAATGACACGTATTCATTCTTGTACGATTCAATCTATTCCTGAAACGATTAGAAAACCTTCGACAAATTCCTCAAGGAAATTAAATAAATACACTTTCAAATAATTGCAAAGAATGGCAAAAAATACCTTAAATGGTGTTTCTTTATTAAATTATAACTAACATCCAATAAAATATTCACAATATCTTAAATTCACAGTATTCAAGTAATTGTTAATCCTTAAAAAAATAAAAACAGCAAAACTTGAAGAAATTCCAAACAAGTGCTTCTAAAATTACTTGGGAATTG